TCTTGCTCTCTGCAAGGTGTTCCACTATTTGGGACATACTACTGGTCTGTATCTGCTGAGTTGTCGTTATGGCATTCAGCTGTTTCTGCTGGGTATCAGCAATATCACCTAGTACAGACATCTTCCCTTTAAGCTGTCCTTCTATCATGGTTAGTTCTCTCATCTCTTCGGCTATCTGAGCTTTTTCCGACGGCCTACTAATTATAGTTGATGTCAATGGAAATCGTGGTCTCGGGGGAGGATTTCTTCTATTCCTTCTCATGGGGTTGGATGGAGTTTCCATATCTCCTAAGTCTCCTCCCGTCCAATAGCCTGTGCTTGCTCTGCCAGGTAATCCACTTATCTCTGGTTCCATCTTGTAAATTCTCTAGTTCTGGTTCGTCTTTGGAAACAATATCAATCCCACCGCTGCCGCCAGTGTAACAGTTAGGCCCTTTTGTGGATATTATGGTAGTGTGGACTAATAGACCTCTGTATACCTTGTGGGTTACGTGACACACGTTAAATGTGTTTGCACCAAAGATTCAACAGAACATTCAATTATATTTATTACACAACAAACGATATATTGTGGCGTCTGTAGGCCCAAAATTGTGTACATCAAATAGCAAAATGTCCTTGCAATAAACTTGAATAGAACCAATGTTCGTTGTTGTTGTTGTTATTGTTATTATTATTCACTGTGAGTCTATACATATAAACATCAATTGTGGGATTGGATTGAAGTCACACAATCAAAGCGATGAAAAGAACATCCAGTTCCATACAAGGACCAGTATCTTGTCTCGTGCAGGTAGCCTCCTCCGGCTAAGTCCAGTGTATCCTCTTCTCCCTCAGGTAGCCTCCTCCGGCTAAGTCTAGTGGATCCTCTTCTCCCTCAGGTAGCCTGCTCCGGCTAAGTCCAATAGATCCTCTTCTCCCTCAGGTAGCCTCCTCCGGCTAAGTCCAATGGATCACCTTCCTCAGGAAGTCCGTTCGACAAAGTCAATTGGAACGTCTTCTCCCTCAGGTAGCCTCTTCCGGCTTAGTCCAGTGGATCCTCTTCTCCCTCAGGTAGCCTCCTCCGGCTTAGTCCAATAGATCCTCTTCTCCCTCAGGTAGCCTCTTCCGGCTTAGTCCAATGGATCACCTTCCTCAGGAAGTCCGTTCGACAAAGTCGCTGAAATAAAGACCCAGCCTCAGTGAGTCCGTTCGACAAAGTCAACTGGAACGTCTTCTCCCTCAGGTAGCCTCCTCTGGCTAAGTCCAATGGATCCTCTTCTCCCTCAGGTAGCCTCTTCAGCTAAGTCCAGTGGATCCTCTTCTCCCTCAGGTAGCCTCCTCTGGCTAAGTCCAATGGATCACCTTCCTCAGGAAGTCCGTTCGACAAAGTCGCTAAAATAAAGACCCAGCCTCAGTGAGTCCGTTCGACAAAGTCAACTGGAACGTCTCCCTCAGGTAGCCTCTTCCAGTGAAGTCCAATGGACCCTCTTCTCCCTCAGGTAGCCTCCTCCGGCTAAGTCCAATGGAACGTCTTCTCCCTCAGGTAGCCTCCTCTGGGTAAGTCCAATGGATCTTCTTCTCCCTCAGGTAGCCTCTTCAGCTAAGTCCAGTGGATCCTCTTCTCCCTCAGGTAGCCTCCTCTGGGTAAGTCCAATGGATCACCTTCCTCAGGAAGTCCGTTCGACAAAGTCGCTAAAATAAAGACCCAGCCTCAGTGAGTCCGTTTGACAAAGTCAACTGGAACGTCTTCTCCCTCAGGTAGCCTCCTCTGGCTAAGTCCAATGGATCCTCTTCTCCCTCAGGTAGCCTCTTCTGGGTAAGTCCAATGGATCACCTTCCTCAGGAAGTCCGTTCGACAAAGTCGCTAAAATAAAGACCCAGCCTCAGTGAGTCCGTTCGACAAAGTCAACTGGAACGTCTCCCTCAGGTAGCCTCTTCCGGTGAAGTCCAATGGATCCTCTTCTCCCTCAGGTAGCCTCCTCCGGCTAAGTCCAATGGATCCTCTTCTCCCTCAGGTAGCCTCTTCAGCTAAGTCCAGTGGATCCTCTTCTCCCTCAGGTAGCCTCCTCTGGGTAAGTCCAATGGATCACCTTCCTCAGGAAGTCCGTTCGACAAAGTCGCTAAAATAAAGACCCAGCCTCAGTGAGTCCGTTCGACAAAGTCAACTGGAACGTCTTCTCCCTCAGGTAGCCTCTTCAGCTAAGTCCAATGGATCCTCTTCTCCCTCAGGTAGCCTCCTCTGGCTAAGTCCAATGGATCCTCTTCTCCCTCAGGTAGCCTCTGGCTAAGTCCAATGGATCCTCTTCTCCCTCAGGTAGCCTCCTCTGGGTAAGTCCAATGGATCTTCTTCTCCCTCAGGTAGCCTCTTCAGCTAAGTCCAGTGGATCCTCTTCTCCCTCAGGTAGCCTCCTCTGGGTAAGTCCAATGGATCACCTTCCTCAGGAAGTCCGTTCGACAAAGTCGCTAAAATAAAGACCCAGCCTCAGTGAGTCCGTTCGACAAAGTCAATTGGAACGTCTTCTCCCTCAGGTAGCCTCCTCTGGCTAAGTCCAATGGATCCTCTTCTCCCTCAGGTAGCCTCTTCTGGGTAAGTCCAATGGATCACCTTCCTCAGGAAGTCCGTTCGACAAAGTCGCTAAAATAAAGACCCAGCCTCAGTGAGTCCGTTCGACAAAGTCAACTGGAACGTCTCCCTCAGGTAGCCTCTTCCGGTGAAGTCCAATGGATCCTCTTCTCCCTCAGGTAGCCTCCTCCGGCTAAGTCCAATGGATCCTCTTCTCCCTCAGGTAGCCTCTTCAGCTAAGTCCAGTGGATCCTCTTCTCCCTCAGGTAGCCTCCTCTGGGTAAGTCCAATGGATCACCTTCCTCAGGAAGTCCGTTCGACAAAGTCGCTAAAATAAAGACCCAGCCTCAGTGAGTCCGTTCGACAAAGTCAACTGGAACGTCTTCTCCCTCAGGTAGCCTCTTCAGCTAAGTCCAATGGATCCTCTTCTCCCTCAGGTAGCCTCCTCTGGCTAAGTCCAATGGATCCTCTTCTCCCTCAGGTAGCCTCTTCAGCTAAGTCCAGTGGATCCTCTTCTCCCTCAGGTAGCCTCCTCTGGCTTAGTCCAATGGATCCTTTTCTCCCTCAGGTAGCCTCTGGCTAAGTCCAATGGATCCTCTTCCTAAGGAAGTCCGTTCGACAAAGTCGCTGAAATAAAGACCCAGCCTCAGTGAGTCCGTTCGACAAAGTCAACTGGAACGTCTTCTCCCTCAGGTAGCCTCTTCAGCTAAGTCCAGTGGATCCTCTTCTCCCTCAGGTAGCCTCCTCTGGCTAAGTCCAATGGATCCTCTTCTCCCTCAGGTAGCCTCTTCAGCTAAGTCCAGTGGATCCTCTTCTCCCTCAGGTAGCCTCCTCTGGGTAAGTCCAATGGATCCTCTTCTACAGGAAGTCCGTTCGACAGTCGCTGAAATAAAGACCCAGCCTCAGTGAGTCCGTTCGACAAAGTCAACTGGAACGTCTTCAGTGAGGAAGTTTCACAATAAATTATCTAAGTCAAACTTCAAATAGAACAAAGTCGAAGAATATTTCAAAGTGTGAGTAAGAAATACTCTAAGTCCAAGTTAGTATAAACGACTAAAATGTATAAGTCTAACTCCAGGTAGATGTATCACAGAACAAAGTCAAAGAATATTTAAAATGATTAAAATATTCTAAGTCCAAGTTAGCATCTACAGCAAAATGTACAACTCCAACTCCCGGTAGATGTATCACAGAACAAAGTCAAAGAATATTAAAAATGATTAAAATATTCGAAGTCCAAGTTAGCATCCACAGCAAAATATACAAGTCCAACTTCAGGTAGATGTATCACAGAACAAAGTCAAAGAATATTGAAAATGATTAAAATATTCTAAGTCCAAGTTAGCATCTACAGAAAAATGTACAAGTCCAACTCCAGGTAGATGTATCACAGAACAAAGTCAAAGAATATTAAAAATGATTAAAATATTCTAAGTCCAAGTTATCATCTACAGAAAAATGTATAAGTCCAACTAGGTAGATGTATCACAGAACAAAGTCAAAGAATATTAAAAATTGATTAAAATATTCTAAGTCCAAGTTATCATCTACAGAAAAATGTACAACTCCAACTCCAGGTAGATGTATCACAGAAAAAAGTCAAAGAATATTTCAAAGTATGAAAATATTCCAAGTCTAGGTTATCATCTACAGCTAAAATGCATAAGTCCTACTAGGTAGATGTATCACGAAACAAAGTCAAAGAATATTTCAAAGTATGAAAATATCCCAAGTCTAAGTTATCATCTACAGATAAAAGGCATAAGTCCAACAAAATTGATTTTGTCCAAGTTTAACCTCAAGTAGATTCGTCTACAGCCAGGTACATGTGAACAGAAACAAAGTCAGAGAATATTCCCAAGTGCCAGTCAGAAACATTCTAAGTCGAAGTTATCATGTACAGAAAATGTCAAAGTCCAACAAAATCAAAATTGTTAGAAATCACAAAATATTTCGAACGGAGCTCTGTCCCAGTCAAAAGCTTGCTGTAATCTGCCGAGTTTACATCGGCGAAATACTTTTATAGGCTTGGTGACGTCATCACTTTACGAACAAGATTTCAAAGTTAAATAACAAGTTATTGACGCCATATTCCGCTTTAATATTGCTCACACAACAAGATAATAATTGGAACTTAATAAATCTAACAGTAATTGATCGCTACTTACTCTAGTTTTACTTCGGTTCGATAGAATAAGAAGCAGGAAGTAAATTCCAAAAAGTGACCTCCATTTAAAGTACCCGATCGACTACCCGATCAACATAAATTAAATCCCAATTCGAAGTCATGAAAACGCTATTTCACCCCTGTAACTACAACTAAAGTACTGCAAACATTGCTACACGTTACGATCTTAATGATCTCACATGGGAAACACAAATCAAGTGTAATAAATGTACAATAGCGAGTACACAGCACTAAATAAAAAATAAAAAATTCAAAATTTTGTTACAATATCGTATCTGGTTATAATTGTTCTTTCGTACCACATTTGTTAATTGACCTACATCCGGGAGCGTTTTACAAAGTTAAAAATATTCAAAAGTAGACAAATTCACATTATTTCAGGAAAGTAAAATTATTGTGACAATGCCTGTCGACAACAGGCGACTATGGACACCAGAGGAAACAATTCCCCCTGAATTTATAACAAAATATAGGCCAACCACTGAATTAGTGAGTAGTATTTTACTATTTTTATCTATTATCGCCCACCATGGAGATTTCATTGCATTGCTTTCTCTGGTCTAATCTCCCTATGGTAGGAGAGGTGAAGAGAATAGCCCACTGCTTTTAAAACTTCAATGATTGGTTCCAGGGATTAGATGACAAGAACTAATATGATGGACCTCCAGCTGATGTGACCATTGTTCATGTGGAAAATCACTTTTATCAATTATAAACTTCGCTAGATCTATTAGCGATAATATTTGAGTATGGATTATATATGTTTCAACCTACAGGGCACACATGAAATTAGCATTACCAGGTATTCGAACATGACTGTATTCACGCCTTCTATAAACTGTAAACAAAGTCAACATTTCACCCGGGGTATATTCACGATCAATACCTAGTAATTAGACTGTATCCTTCGTCTGAATAAATATTCAATATAATAATACATTCGGTCTGTTGGATACATACTAACCTAGTAATGGCAAACCATGATGAATATTCGAAACATTTTGGTGAGTTTTCATGTTCAAATCGTAATATAGAGTCAAATCCCTTATTCTGGTAACCAGTTCATATGGTTAAAATAACGAAATGATATGATGTTACCATGTGTCTACTTACCAGTTTGTTCTATGTCATCCATTGGACTACTACTACTGTAGGTTACATTGTGGAACTCAGCCAAACACGACACTGAAGGCAGCATTCTGAGGTTATAAAATCTAAATCTAAAACATTTGCCATTTGCAGCCCCTTGGAGATTTCCGGAATTGAACAAAGTAGCGAACATTGCGATCTTTCAGCTTTAGTTCATTGTTTTTCACCTAGTTCACTAGGGGCCTGTGTTTGTAGTAAAATAACCGAATTTCAAAAATGTTTTAGCTATACTAAAAAGCGATCGTTTTGATGAAAGCTCTCTTGAAAGAATGAAAGCCCATGATAAAACTGAAATTATCGCTATCGATAATATTAAAATCAAGGCCCTCACCAATTGTATACAACCTAAATATATTATACAGTGCAGGGGTTTCATTAGCAGCAGGCAACAGGCGATTTTCAACAGTTGTTTTCACAAAATCAGCTATTGTTTTTAGGGGCTTTTCAACTTTTCCCTGTTAAATTTATGATTTCCATTATTTTGCCTGTTGTTTTCAGTTATTTAGCCTGTTGTGAGAAATTCTAGCGAATCCACTGCAGTGGATGAGGTACTCTATACTTTAATCTGAGAGGTCCAAGTTTGAATTCAAATCCTTTGTAGGTTTTTATCTCATCATTGATTTTGGTAAAGGCTAAGCCACCCTATTAAATTCTGTCTGCCTGTCAAAGAATGAAATATTGAGATGTTTTTTGCAAAAAAATATTTGAAACATGTTGCAAAAATATCTGGGGACATCACCACATCTCTTGCATTATGTAAGAAGAAATAATTTTCCCATATAGTATATGCATTTATTGAATGAGAATTATCTTCATATAAGAAAAGTGATGTGATTGCAAGAACTATTGTTTGGTGCCTATGAATAGGTCACCCGGGTCTATCTCTGCTTATTAATGATGCCTATAAATAGGTCACCCGAGTCTATCTCTGCTCATAAATGATGCCTATAAATAGGTCACCCGAGTCTATCTCTGCTCATAAATGATGCCTATAAATAGGTCACCTGAGTCTATCTCCACTCTTATCTGATGCCTATAAATAGGTCACCTGAGTCTATCTCCACTCTTATCTGATGCCTATAAATAGGTCACCTGAGTCTATCTCCACTCTTATCTGATGCCTATAAATAGGTCACCTGAGTCTATCTCCACTCTTATCTGATGCCTATAAATAGGTCACCTGAGTCTATCTCCACTCTTATCTGATGCCTATAAATAGGTCACCTGAGTCTATCTCCACTCTTCTGATGCCTATAAAGGTCGCCTGAATCTATTTTACATCCAGTTGTTAAACATAACTGCTTCAGTGGTTGGCCTAAGTTGAGTGTTTCATTAATAGCCTGTGTCATCACTCCATCCAGAGTTCTTCTGTTGTGTTACACTTCTTCACAGATCTTCTATCAGCTCTTATATTGGCTTTAATGTCAGTTTCTATACACTCGTTGCAGTGGCACACTCCATTTACAGACTCTAAATGTTCAAATTCTTGTTGCCTATCGTTGATTAGGTTCTTTTGGAAATTAATGCATTCTCTAAGAGCATCAATTTCTCCTTTTAGCTTGTTGATTTGTTCATTGTAGACTTTGTTGACTTCAGTCAACTTGGCTAACCTCTGTTTACTTCTCAATAGTTGGTATTTAATATTGTCTGAAAATAAGTGAGATGAGAGTGAGATAAGATAAGATGATAAGAGTTTATGATGAAATGGAATCGAGTAAACTGTCTGTTTATGATCATGATCATACAGGAAAGATTACCTTCTCTGAATAATGTATGTCATAGACACATTGAAATACATAACGCCGTATTCTCAACTGGATAGCAGGCCTGTCAACTGTCCCGCAATTTGCGTATTTGTCACGCATTTGCTGAAGAATTTGAAGTCACGCCAGTTTTTTTTGCGTGACACAAAATGTCACGCAAATACGCATTTTACCTGGTAATTGTCACGCAAATATGTTCCTGTAAAAAAATTTTCAAAATATGTTTATGATACGGTAAAAATACGAACGTGGGAAAAAAAACGAACGCAATTTGTTCGGATTTGTCACGCGAATCCCGTATATGTCACGCATGTTCATTGGAAATTTTCGTACCTACCCCCCCCCCCCCCCCCCCCCCCCCCCCCCCCCGTTGATGACAACGCGAGCGTAGCGAGCGCGAAAAATTTGAGGTGATAAAAGTTTAGCAAAGGTGCTCAAACTTTGGCCCAAAGGTGTTCAAAATTTGGACAAAAGTGTTCAGATTTGGACTTCGGTGTCCAACATTTGTAAGTCACTCATATTAGGTGGTCCCAAGTTGACAGCCCTGGGATAGGTGTAAAGGTTTTTCTGAGTATAAGAAGGCTTTCAAGTTGTTATTCAGTGCTAATGAAACAGTGTTGAAATATGTCTCACATTGTAAAAATAAAATGCCAATTTTTGTGTGTCTGGCAAAATTTTTGTCATACGATTTCAATTTACCTTTCTTTAGTTTCTTTTCTTTAGAGTCGTCTATCTTTTCTCCAAACAACATATGGGCCACATGGACCTCTATAACGAGACCAAAAAGCATCCTAGATACTTTGCGAATTTAATTTTTATTGATAATCTTTTTCTTGATTGTCTGTCCTCAACGTCTCCAGAACTGTTTTCAGTTTCAAGTCAAGATTCAGAATGATCCAAATAGTTACAGATTATGTATCAATAACAAAAGTTTGTAACTATGGTCACAACAAGTGTGATGTCATAAAGAACTCCAAATTCTAAACAATAGATGTTTATTATGTCATTTTCAATATGTTGTTCTAATGCTTATGACATCACTATAAGGATGCTGTTCTACATGGTTACAGTCACTATGCAGATTAGTTGCTGTTTTATTTTCTTTATGACATCATTGGACTTGAATCATGTTACCTTGGTTCTTGTGTTCATTTCTCAAAGGCGATGTTTTGTCTCTTTTAATGAATAGCCTGGGAAGGTTCTGTTAAATAAGGACTCAAAACTTCAGATCTTCAGGAAAACAAAACATTGAGCATGCTGTCAGTTTAAACAGTTCTTAACTAATTCAGATTAGAGGTCAATTCTGACATGAGTTGGATTTTTAGTTTAAGTCCCAACACTATAACCTGCATTTATTGCATATTTTGTAGTTACTCTTACTACACGTAGATGGGCATATTTTTGATGTGCTTTTAAGCAATAGGTGAGGGGTACTTAAGATGTTCTTCATGCAATAGACAGATAGATTAGTTGTACTTCTCCACAAGGTACTAAAGTACACCTAAATACCCCCACACCTATTGCACTCCTGACCTACATTGTTTGTGGGTCACCCTTAAGAAAAAACGCTTGTTTTCTCCTCATGTGGTTAAAAGATGACCTTTTTTAACCACATTTTTACCACTCAAGATATGTAAAAGTGTGGTTGTGGCCACCTGTTTTGACACACATAAAAGTGTGGACCCCACTGGTATTTCTTCCACAGTTCCAAGAAACATCTTCCCATAGTTTCTCCTCATAATGAAAAAGTGTGGTTAAGGTGTTCATGAAACTATGGAGAAGCAGGACATTCACATTGATATGATTTAAGATTACCATATTGTTAATAGGGGTAAAAAGGGTTAATGGTTGCCATAAAATATTTTAGGATATACCGAACATGATAAGCCAGTGCTATACCTGTTATTCTGGCATCTAAATTGTTTTAAGCATCTTCTTTCAAATATTCCATTATGCATATCGCAAATATGAGAATGTTGTATGATCGAAGCATAGGGAGATTCTTTACAAAATATTTCAGTAAAATGACATAAGGATTAGAGGCAAATGAATGATGCTCCCGGGATTGATGCTCGACTTTTCTATTTAGGTAGATCAGAAGTTTGCATGAATATAAAACAAAGTATTTAAAATTAGTTACTCTAAACTGAAGATTATTTTGACTGAACTGACTAATCTTATTATGAGACTAATATTAAAGAATAACAGGATGTGTCTGCTGTATTAAAAGGATACAAATACATGTAATCAATATGTTAAAATATAGTCCAGACATGATTTTATTATTTCTTAGACATCAAAGACTTGAAGAGTCACAAGAATTAAAGTAATACCTGTAGTTAGTGAATTTATTTGAATTATATCAATGTTAATTTTAATAATGAGATTATAATTCTAATCAAGAGTCTAAATCTAATGATTAAATAAGAAAAGGATGTTGCTGATATGTTTATAAAAACAATAGCTCAATGAGTCAGTTAACTTGTTATTACACATTCAAGAATGTGCTTTGTGGAAAAATTAAGTCCTAAATATCTTTTCAAAAACCTTATATTCTTGCAAATGAGGAAACCCAGCAATGTGATTTTTATTTAACCATTAATATCAGTATATTTTCCATGACATATTTTGTACTTAATCACCCTAAGCCTTAAGGCTACAGTTATATGGACAGATTATTAAAAGCAGTTTTAGTAAAAACTATGAGATTCTGAAAAACACAGTTTAAGTTGATACCAAAGGTTGATAGTATGTTGTTCTATAGCAACAACCCAACTTGATGCATTTTGTGGGAGATATTTATACTCATAATCATGTGATCCTTTTTTCGTAAATTGGTCGAAGTGTATTTTTCTTCTATTTTCAGTGAAGGTCTAACATAACTTTGCCTTATTGTAAACATTTGCAATGTACATTATTGTGCTTGGGGACCATATTTCAGATTTGTAAGGAGTTTTAACTGATAATTCAATCCATCTAAATGATACTTTTCTGTACATTTTGTGCTTAAAAATGTACTAAAATATGATATCTATCTAGGTGGCATGTTCTGATTGCCTCTGTATGTTCAGTCCAGACTCGTCACTTCAATGTGTCTCTTTTTCAGTATCATTAATAATTATTTGATAATAATTAATTACATGATAAATAATTATAAGTATAATGATTGATCTTAGATGCTAATTTTCATTAAATCTATATCTGATCCAGATCTGAATAATAAACTCATTTTGTCCTAGCTGTGGAACTAAACATTGTTGTTATAACTTATGTAAACAATTTTTGGTTTGTTGACTTAAAGACCACACTTTCCCCACACTTTTAGTCCACACTTTTTATTATTCATATTGCACATCACCCATACCTGTACTGCTCTTATACCATCTCCAAACCACACTTTTACCACACCCGACCCACACCTTTGAATTGTATGGTCAGTGGTTTTTATATATAATGGAATTCTTTTAATTCAATTTAGTTTTTACACTGCTTAAAATTGTTAGATTTCTCATAACAGAACAACCCATCCTACCTGGCAATAGACTCAATCTTAACCTTGGTATGAATAGCAAATGCTCATTTTTTTATTTACTGTTATTAATCTCCAATGCTTACACTTTTTATATGTTTCACAAAATTTACTGCAGAATTGTCATTGGTCACAATCAGGTGAAAGGTGCATACAGCCTTCAATGAACGATGAATAGTCATATTCAAACATCATCCTCTTTGATAGTGAATAAAAATTAAGGTTGATTTTGATTTTGATTTTGTTTCCCAGATATTTGGTCCTATATTTAGACATTTAGTTTGATGATTAAAATATACACCAATAAATCAATAATAATTGAGACAAATAAGTCATGCTTCAATCATACAACATTCTCATTTGTGTCACATATGTTTAATAAAATATTTGTTTGATGATGAAAAAGATGCATGAAACAATTTAGATACCAGAATATCATCTACAGTAAATCCAAAAATTTATTTAACAAGCATTAACCCTTTTAACCTCTATAAATAATATGGTAACCTTAAATCATATTAAGGTGAATGTCCTGCTCTTCCATAGTTTTGGTAACACCTTGACCACACTTTCTCATTATGAGGAGAAACTATGGAGAGATATTTCCTGGAACTGTGGAAGAAATACCAGTGGGGTCCACACTTTTAGGAGTGTCAAAACAGGTGACCACAACCACACTTTTACATATCTTGAGTGGTAAAAATGTGGTTAAAAAAGGTCATCTTTTAACCACATGAGGAGAAAACAAGCGTTTTTTCTTAAGGGTAAGTATATACAGATTTACAATCCGTATTATTTGTATGTCAAACACTCTACTAGTAATGGGAGTGATTTTTGATGGGTCGTTCATGTGCTCCCACATCATATGCAGGTCATTTATACTTCACAATGTTTATATACTTGCAGGTCAACCAGAATGGGAAGAGGAGAGATGGAAGAGAAGCTAACCAACACAGACCAACATGTGAGTACTAGAGTTCATACATTTATTGTTTTATAGTTCAAATATGCTATTGGTTTTCTAGATGCATACATTTTGCACCTATTTCATACATAATCTTACATAACATACACAATAAATAAATAGTCTAACCCAATTTATATCCATCATCAGTAAGGGAGAACAGACTGTTGTTACTGAAATCGCAGTCTATAGATACAGTATTACAATGCAGAACTAATACCAGGATGATGATATACCTCCAATTATTGTTTCAGATTTGAAGGCAGGTGCTATAAGTCAGGCTAAGGGCTCAGCTTACATTGAGATGGCTGACACGAAGGTCATCGCTGCAGTGTAAGTTTACATTAATTTGGAGTTACTCCATAGAACTTTTCATTCAATTTATATTAGTAGATCTATTTAAAGTAAGTCATGGGCGGTATGTTTTGTTGTTATCTCAGTCTATGTCCGATTCTAGTTATGGTCCACGGGAGGTCATGAAGAGAGAAGATTTCACGATGTCAGGACAGGTAAAATGTGTCTTTAAGTTTGCCACATTTTCTTGCAAGACTCGACAGAAACACATAGAGGATGATCGGGAGAAGGAATTATCAATGACTATCTTAGAAGCCCTAAAGCCTGCAATTAGACTGGTAAGATGTATACTGTACCATCAGAAAATTAATTTTTTTGTATTGCCTTGTGATGTTATCCATTGATTGCTGATTTTTGAATTAGGTATATGTTTCTTTAATTAAACACTAAAAGTAGTTTTCCCTTTGCCACATGGTATCATCAAATTAAAGCAATTTACCATTATGTAGTATGCTACATTTCCCAGTCTTTCTCTAAGTATACATTGTATATTTTCTAATAATACTGACTAATGCAACAGTACAACAATTGTCTCCACAAATTCATCTTTGATCTGCCTATAAGCTAACAAATCTAAATTCATAACTGTACAAGTGAACGTTGTATTTTCTAGGATAAGTTCCCAAAGGCCAGACTAGAAATCTTTATTACAGTCTTACAAGATGGAGGGAGTGGTGAGTACAATTGACTAACTCAAAGATCAACTTCATTATAGGGGAGGCAGTTAAAACCTTTATCACAACAAAGCAATGTTTTATGAAAAACAATGAATGAAGTTTGAATGGGATAATATAGCAAAGCCCTTCATTCATCTGTCCATCCATCTGTAGTGTAACTCAAAGACTATTGAACTGATTATCTTTAGTGTAACTCAAAGACTATTGAACTGATTATCTTTATCTGTAGTGTTACTCAAAGACTATTGAACTGATTATCTTTATCTGTAGTGTTACTCAAAGACTATTGAAATGATTATCTTTATCTGTAGTGTAACTCAGAGACTATTGAACTGATTATCGTTATCTGTAGTGTTACTCAAAGACTATTGAACTGATTATCTTTATCTGTAGTGTTACTCAAAGACAATTGAACTGATTATCTTTATCTGTAGTGTTACTCAGAGACTATTGAACTGATTATCTTAATCTGTAGTGTTACTCAAAGACTATTGAACTGATTATCTTTATCTATAGTTTAACTCAAAGACTATTGAACTGATTATCTTTATCTGTAGTGTTACTCAAAGACTATTGAACTGATTATCTTTATCTGTAGTGTTACTCAAAGACTATTGAAATGATTATCTTTATCTGTAGTGTAACTCAGAGACTATTGAACTGATTATCTTTATCTGTAGTGTTACTCAAAGACTATTATTGAACTGATTATCTTTATATGTAGTGTTACTCAAAGACTATTGAAATGATTATCTTTATCTGTAGTGTAACTCAGAGACTATTGAACTGATTATCTTTATCTGTAGTGTTACTCAAAGACTATTATTGAACTGATTATCTTTATCTGTAGTGTTACCCTAAGACTATTATTGAACTGATTATCTTTATCTGTAGTGTAACTCAGAGACTATTGAACTGATTATCTTTATCTGTAGTGTTACTCAAAGACTATTGAACTGATTATCTTTGTATTTGTTGATAATAAAAAGATTTATTGGTAAGTAGTTGTATGCAACTAATAGCTGAATAGTTTCATATTGTCCTTCCTTAATTAACCTTCACTTTTTAACATGTAATGTACTTTCAGCTCTGGCTGCTGCAATCACATGTGGCTCAGTGGCTGTAGCTGATGCTGGAATGGAGATGTATGATGTTGTAATAGGCTGCTCACTGGTTAGTTTTATAAATACACCCTTATTCAGCATCATTATTGAATTCCCCCTCACAGTACTTGGTATTGATCAAAACAGTACTGTGTAGCTGTTCTGGCAGGGTTACAATACTGTTTTGGAAATGATGCTCATGTAGTACTCTTAAAACAGAGTACAGCCTGCTTGATAAGCAACACTGTACACTGCTGTTTGAGATTGGTAGCTTGCACTTAAAAGCAGTAATTCTCAGTATTTTAAGATGTTTAGTATTTACCTTGGACTGAATGTACTGATTTTCACTATTAATCATTTATTTTTATGAAAGGTCAGCAGAAAGGTTTAATAGGAAGTGTTCTGAAATGTATTTCCATTTAGAGAATTATTATTAAATTAACCTAAGGAAATCATCCAATGAATGAAATGTGTGAGTAGTTGTATTTACCAGGTCGTTCAATAAGTTCATGGAAAAATGCTGTTGTTTCAAATTTTAGATATTTTTGGGATGGTGAAATGAGAGAATTTTTCTGTGAACTTATTGAATGACCTGGTACTTGTTACTTATAGAGGCAGATTGGGGAGAGGTCTTTGATTGACCCCACTACAGATGAAGAATCCCACAGATCTCTGTCACAGGTAAGTATTCTAACATTATACCAATCAGCCAATGGAGTGATACGTATTATTTGCCCTTAGAATTCAAAATGGCTGTCTTGTAATTAACCAAGAATGCCCTATTTTGTCATTTTTCTCACCTGTCTGCTTTCGCCTCTGTGAAAATGTAAAGTTGATGTGATTGCTGACAAAGAGTAATACAGCCAAGCATAACATGATAACTGACCTTAAGAAATCACACAGCAGAATTTTGACAAACTCAGAAAATACAGACTATATTTCTGAAAATGGTGAAATCTGTGATTCTTCTGAGCATGCATATAATGTTTGATTGACATTTCCTTTGAATGCTTGGCAAGCGATGATGATATCCAGTATTGATAATTCTGTTTTTATTTGTTATTTGCAGTCAGACGAGAAGTCCAATGAAACATCTCAAGCGATGATGACAGTTGCTCTTATGCCCTCTATCAACCAAGTCTCATCCATTATACAGAAAGGTGAACTCTCAATAGATGGCGCAAAACAAGCACTTAAGCAATGTCTGGACACTGCTAGAAAACTGCACCCTGTTATTAAACAGTGCCTAAATAAGGCAGTAGAAGCCAAATTAAAAAGATGATACACCAAGCCCACATATGATAAACACATGCCATAGTAGGCTACATACTACTTAGTCACCAGACACCAGACTGGACAATCCATGTTGTTGTGAATTTTGGTTAAATGTACAGTTAAACAGGTTTAATAATAAAAATGCTATGTTTTCTAATTAGATGTTTTTGAGTTCATTCACATTATTTAATACCATATGGTTTTAAATGGTATCCTTTTTATGAAGCAGTTCCTTCCAATGTCAGCAACAGAGTAAAGCAATGATGACTAATTTGATTGTGATTGCACTGGGGTTTTAAAAAATAGGCCTACCAAATGGAATATGATTTTGCATTGGGGAATGAAATGGATGACAGATTAAAAACATACAATGGCAGGAATTTAATTTGAGTTATTCATTCTGTAATTATTTGGTATTATGAAACTTTTAAGGGCCATAAATACAAATGCTCTCATTGCCACGTTTATAAAGGAATCAGTTGATAGTAACAGCTCTGAAAAGAAAATTTTTTTTGTTTTTAATTCAAATATTGCCCACTTGTGCTCATCATTTTAACATTTTCCATAATAAAAAGAGGGCAGTTGAATTTCAGAATGTTTTGAAAAATATTCTCAAAAATCTTGAAAAATGATTTTCCAGTGGAAGGAGGATGAAACAGTTACATCTTGAAAAGGTCACTGAAGGTCAAATCTTAAATATAAAGTCGGATATGAACTTCTGAAAACTTGGATGATGGATGATTTTGAAAAAACAAGTCGGTCTAAACAGTATTTGTTAAGTTGTTGGAAGTTTTAAGAATTTGTTACAGACGCCAACCGCTACCCACCGCTGTCACAAAAAAATGTAGCCCATAACAATATGTCACTTTTTGGTGGTGACATAATAATAAAATGAACCCAAGATCAATCAACCTTCAATTATCACAGCAATATGTTTTTGTGAGGTTCCCAGGATATTAAAATTATCAATCTGACTCCAAAAATATGGTCTAGGACCCTTCCTAAGCACATTCTTCAAAAGAGCTGTTCCTTTTTGCCAAGTCATGGAAGTAAATATATTTTTTACATGTACACATACTCTACCCAAACAACACAATCATATACACAAACAACAATGACATCTAATCAAAGAACACAGACCAAGGAAAGCCCAAACAACCCAGTCATCTAACCAAACAACACCAAATCAACCCAAACAACACAATTATCTACCCAAACAATCCAGCCATCTTCCTACACAACACAATCGTCTGCCTAAATAACACAACTATCAACCCAAGCAATACAATCATCTACCTAAACGAAGGGTATCTAATCAAAGAAACCCAGCAACCTACCCAAACAACATAAACATGTACCCAAACAACACAACCATCTTACCAAATATAATGTAATAAAAAATATATCTGTTATTATCAATGAAAGTGCTAATGCGTATTACTTGATTATTAATTGAAAAATAACATTTTCCTCTCATTGTTACTATCTTTGTTTTGTAAGAAACTCTTTATAGCAGTAATATTTAGTGTTTTTCTTTGCTCCCTAAAATCAAACAATAACAAAAATATTGAAGTTATAAAGTTTTATTTTCTCCACATCAAATGAAATGCAGATAAACTTTAACTAAAATCACAAATGCATACATCCAAATATTACAATCCATTTATTTCATGATAAATCTATATTATAGACTATATATTATAACATGGATCATACTTAATTTAACAAACTCCTATAGTAGTCATAATTCCCAAAATACCACTGTTGACAAATCAAAAATGTTTGTTCCAACAACAATATATCATTTTTTGTTATAAATAATCTTTGTATTGGTTAAATTTTGATTGACATTACAAAGAAAACATTAATTTGGAAAAGTAGTTTCTTAATGGTGTCACTATTTAATTTGTTAACTACAGTGATATTTTGAAGTCTACTACTGTTATCAGAGTTTCATGATTCAAACTAGACAATGGCAACTCCAAGCAGCAAATCCCATCGAACTAATCCCAGCATTACGATTAGTTTTTGACAAATCACAAAGGAATGAACATTGCTCAAGTCAGATATTTAGTTTTGGTGGTTCATAAGTGAATAAATCAAATGAGATTTTATCCCATGGTAATCAGAGAAATATTTCTTCTTTAATATGAAAATAATTTAAACACTTTCAGTTGCACTTAAAGTCCAGGCAAAATAGTGTGTAGAATATGTTCGCCATTTTTGTTTCGAGCAGAGGTCTCATATGTATACAGTAATTCTAACTTGTGTGCTGAATAAGAGGGGAATAACCCAGAATTCAAAGATGAACCTTTCCTTTTGTAAAGATGATGGGTTCATCTTTGAATTCTGGGTATTTTCCTCCTCTTGTGCTGAATTGTCTGAGGAAGAAGGTTAGTTTTATTCCTTACCCATAAACCTCAGGTTAGCATCGAAAATAAATCTTGAGACAATGATTGATGGTCAATATGCTCTTTTATAATATCCCATCACGCATTAAGTTCAATGGGATAATAAAGGCAAGTATCAATTACAAAGAAAATATTGCATTCAAATAGAAAATGCATAATTGCATTTAACATTCTATTATATCAGAAATGCCACTTGGGCAATAATAACACAAAACATTATATTACTGCAGTATTCTCTCCAGGATCTTTTCAAGTGGTTGCAAAATTCTAATAATCATGCTTTTTTCGCATGGTACAAATGAGTTTTCTATTCAGGTGGTAAACCTTTTCCAATCTCAACAGAGTCTGGGTGTAGCGGCCACTTGCTTTGATGCTGGGCAGATCACAGTACTGTATAAGCTATTGGACTTGTGATATTGCGATGGAACACTTCTGGTGTATTTACTTACTACATAAACATATAATGTTTAACCAGTTAACATAACATAAAATGGTGCCTCCAGTGAAGGATGAAATAATTCCAGTCAGTCTAAAGATCAAATTCAGAGGGAACAATATATTGGCTATTTTGGGAAATTTCCCACTTTTATTAACATTGCCCAATAATTTAATGATTTTAGTATATTTTACGTATTCTGTATCTCACAAAAATACCTAGTAATAAATTCAGTTTCATTTTACCCCTATTGATGCTGGTGGATTAAAAGGTGAGTGGGATAGCAAGGATAACATATTGTAACATGATGGGATCTGAAGCAGTCTTCAAGAGTGTAGGGTAAACAAAACAATATGATTTATACCATGATCGATCAGAATTTGTCAAATCAAATAGTTTTGGAAACTGAATATTGTACATGATGTAGAGTAATGCTTTTTAAACTCAACTCTAAAAAATTATCTAAATATACCTTTCTGGTCATTTTTAATTTGAAGATTATTCTTTGTTTGACCAAAAGTAGATTAACATCACATTTTAACCTACATCTTTGTTTATATCAGAGTGCATTTCAGCAATAATTTTCTACATTGTGTTCAAGTAGAATACTGAGGTTACCATTTTGTAATAATAAAGCCTGACCCACCCACCAACCATAAATCAACCCACCTGTCAACATATTTAGCGCTGTTTAGTACAGTTCACATTTTCAAGACCAGTGCCCGATGCCTGTGAAATGGAAAAATATGTGGAGGGGATCATGTTTTGCAAGAAAATCCAAAAAAATCTGCAAGAGTTACTTTTTCATGAGAGAGTTTTCAAATTAAATGCAGAAAGCCCACACTGTGCCTTGTATGAATATTTTGAGATCCGTAGAAAATAAAGCAACATCTTTAGTGTGCAAAACTCAAATTTTGTGCTTTGTATCAAGCAGTCGGGTCTACCTGACCTGCAATAAATAAGATGAAGTTACTATCAAAGGATGACATTGTTAATTTTTTAATTGAGCCTTAATTTAGTTACGATCCCCCGTGTATTTTGTCCATTTCACAGGGATGATCATTTACAATAGGGTCTTTCTTTGCAGGAGATAGGTGAAGCTGACAGAGCTTTAATAGAACACTGTGTATAAGGGAAGTACTGAATTACAGTACAAATTGCATTTAAGACTCAGATTACCAATAAAATGTAAAAATAGTGTACATATACTTTTTGTCTAGCATCTAGTCTATACATTCATAAACCTCGAATAACTGAATAAAGCATTCTCAATACAACTGCATCTTACCACATCATCAGCATACATACAGACACACACACAATCAGACATACACACTATTTTATAATTAAATAATCACAATTATATTGTGTTAATTACTATTATAACAGCTCAAATTCAAATCGTGAAGTGTCTGGCTTACCAGACTTTTCAAAGTCTATTTTGGCATATGACAGTGGTTCATTGTCTTCACTGTTATTAGATGAGTTTCTACTCTTCAATGAGAGGGGTGACTTGGGGGGTAGAGAATCAGATAGGTCCAGGGCCGCATAATTCAATTCCTTCTCCCCAAGTGAGGACCTTGGAGACTTGGCTTGAAACATTATAGAAGGACTAAGACTGGAGACCTTTGGGCTTCGGATTCCTGGAGAATCTTCACTTGTACTAGAGAGGCTGCTTTGTTTAGATATTGCCCCGCCTGAAAAATGCCTGGTTCTGTCCCCAGATCCAATACTTGAAAGGCTTGAAGAGCTACCCCGCTTAGGGATAGCATCGCCTAAGGAACCTCCACTTCTAACTCGAGGTAGACTTATTGTAGCTTGTCTGGGACTGGCATCTGAACGTGGAGACAAGTCAGCATCGATATCGGTACCTAAGTCTATAGATAGTGGGGTCATTTGCAAATTGGGCTGTAGACCAGCCTTTTTGGCAGATAGTTCAATGGCCTTGGATGTAGTAGGGCTCTTGGAACTTGCTCCTTCTGCTTTAAGCCTTTGTGTTAGGGGGCTTGTAGCACGATCTGGCTTAGGACTTGGACTTAGGCTGGTTGCTTTTGGGGTTCCTTTCTGTAAAGCACTACTACTTTTAGGACTGCTCATTGCACCCTTCTTTACCATTGAGATTTTAACATCAGTTTTTCCAATTTTCACAGATCCTTTCTTGTTTATAGGAGCCATTTCGGTATATGAATCCTCTTGGGAACTTTGGTGAGGTATCTTCGAAGATAACCCTGGACTCATGTCTTGTCTCATCGGAGGAGCTTCCTTGTTGACGGACTTACTTAAGGGAGCCATTTCAGAATATATGTCACTACTGGAGTCCTTCTTTAAATTACTTTGTGCTTGTAATGATACAGGGGTCATTTCAGAATATGCATCAGAACTTGATTCCTTCGAGGCACTACCTGACACTTTCGAAGATTTTGTTTGTAGTGACATGGGGGCCATCTCAGAATATTCATCAGAACTATTGTCCTTTGTGGTAGATACTTTTGAAGAGGGCATCTCAGAATAAGCATCATAATATATGTCTTTTGTTACACTACTGGGAGATTTTATATTAGTTTTAGTTTGTACTGAAATAGGGGTCATCTCAGAATAGGCATCAAAACTAGTGTCCTTTGATACACTACTTGACACATTGGGAGTTTTGGTTTGTAGTGACAAGGGGGCCATCTCAGAATAAGCATCGACATTTGTGTCTTTTGAAGCACTTACCAAAACTTTGGGAGCTTTTGTTTGTAATGAAAATGGGGCCATCACAGAATAAGCATCTGTACTCGAGTCCTTTATTACACTACTGGGTGATTTGGCTGTTTTAGTTTGTGATGTAAAAGGACCCATTTCTGAATAAGCATCAACATTTGTGTCTTTTGAAGCACTTACAAACACATTGGGTGTTTTGGTTTGTAGTGATAAGGGGGCCATCTCAGAATAAGCATCAACATTTGTGTCTTTTGAAGCACTGACCAAAACTTTGGGAGTTTTTGTTTGTAATGAAAATGGGGCCATCACAGAATAAGCATCTGTACTCGAGTCCTTTATTACACTACTGGGTGATTTGGTAAAAGGACCCATTTCTGAATAAGCATCATCGATTGTTTTCTTAGATGAGTTATGAGAATCCTTACATGTCTTCTTTTCTAAACTATTGGTGGGTTCTACAGCCTTAAGTTCATATTGTGGTACATTTGTCTGCATGAAGTCTTTCTTTACATTAACATGTGACATGTCCGCGTAAGCATCAAGAGCCCTACTAGGTGCCCCAGTGGTGTTTTTGCTATTGTCAGTTGCTTTAACACCGGAATCCTCTGCTTGTGTCTTGTCATCAACTGCAATCTTACTTTTTGACTTTACACTTTTCCGAACACTGGGAACTGGTTTCCTCTTTGTAACACGTTTCTGGACTTCACTTGTGTCGACTTGAGAGTTCCCACTTTTCTCTATTGTCTCTGCCTTCTTTGATAAACTGATATTGACATAATCGTGTCCAGGAGGTTTGCCTATGGCTTGGTGGGGACTGGTAGACTTGGGTTGAGTACTTCCTGGTGAGTAAATGACATAAGACTCAGCTCCAGTATTTTGAGTCCTGCTAGGCAAGGGCAATGTTGGCTGGGATTTAGGAGAGGACTCTGTGTTTTTCCTGTCTGCTGCTAGCAAATCTGATTTGGACTTCACTTTATGCTGTTCAGTTCTGGGTGTCGTTATTTTGGGGGTGTTATAATCCAAGCTAACATAAGCACCGGGGCTTGGGAGACTACTGGCACGTACCAGAGGACTTGTCTCAACTTTTAATCCCGGTTTATCCCTCCCAGAATTCTTAGGGTACCTAGGATCAGTTTTTGGCTTGTGTTTTGAGTGTCTTGTGTGCTGTGAGAGTTTGCTAGTAGCAAGTGGTACATGGACATCACCAGGCTCTGGTAGTTCAGGTGGAGACATTATCATATAGCCAGAGACATCAGAACCAGGCCCTGGAGATTTAGGCTTGCTGTTGCTATGCTTGGGTGGTGACGAGGAAGAGCTACTACCCATTGACATGTAATCAGATACAGCAAGGGGCGATACACCTATCCCTGTAGCACTTAAAAAATCAGATCGGGGGGAACTTGTTGGGCCTCCCATACCAATATAATCGGAGTGAGTTGATCGTGGGGTAGAGGTTTTACCTAGAGACTCAGAGGAGCTGTAAGAGGCCATATGGGGCATAGAGTCATGTGAGGTATTCAATGAGAACTGCAACTCTTGGGAATCCATGCTTATGTTCGAGCTCATACTGGAATCTCTCGACCTGCGTCGTTGGGGTTTTGTCCAAGTGCTTTTCTGGCCATAGCTCGATGAACGAGGTCTGAGGTCATTTTTCTGAGTGAAACTCGAGGCACGTGGACGCTGACCATAGCTATCACTTCCTGTACGTGGTCTGTGTTGTTGGGACCATGTATCGCTGGATGTTCTTGGTCGCATGTTAAACTCCATTTCCATGAAGAGATCAGACATATCCCTATGGCTCTGCATGCTACTTGAGTGGGACTGTAGGCCAGAACTGCTGCTACTTATGCCACTCATGGAGGAAGCATGTGCTGGGATAGAAGAGCTACTCTGGGATTTCATCTGCTGGTCTGGGGTAAGGTGAGGAGCACTGGAGCTCTTGTTATCTCTCTCTAATGATCCCTCTTGAGCTATTGCCTCCATATAAGGAGCAGTTTGATGGTGGATCTTCTTCAAAGGGCGACTACCAACCGAGAATGACTTTGGTCTAAAATCACTGAGACTTCCATCATCTACGAGGAAACTGGTTACTCTGTCAGGACGGCTCACCTCAGGGATGGTAGGGTCTTTGTGAGCCATCTTTGGAGTCATGTCCATGTACCCTGCTTCGACAGCCGCTGGAGATGCAAACAAGGAATATATATTGAAAGATACATAGCATTGGTCAAAGGTTATTTAATAATTGAAACTCATTGATTCCATCGTTTTACTCAACTACAAATCATTAGACCAGTCAGATTTAACTTCAAATGCTCTTTGAATTATTTTTTCTACTCGTTTAAGATAAAATGACTTGACATATCAACAGGTAGTTTATCATTATATAATATCTATGTTCTTGTCTTAGTCAGATGCTAACCTGGTTTTTCACACACTGTTGGCAGAGAGTGGGACATTGGGGACATGTCAAAATAACCTCCTGAGTCAGAAATGATGTCTCGTCTAGATGGTGAGGTGCCAAGTATGAGGCTCGAGGGGGTGTTGCTTGCACTACTTCCCACAGACATATCCAAGTAAGGACTCTGCTGAGTTGGCGCCACTCCAGGAGACATGTCGAAATAAGCACCAGTATCAGCTAAAGCAAATCACAATATGTGATGTTGAAAATTTTGAGTGTTTTTATGATTGTTGTGTTAATATACTGATCTAGTTTTGAATGCTAAAAATAGCTTTTTACTGTGTTGTGTTCCTCTGAAGCATAATCCTCCAATAAATGATCAAGCATTTGGGAATAAACAACATGTCCAATATCATCGATAGATGCTTAACATTAATTACTGTATAATTTACAATGCAAAATGTACTCACATTTAGGAGTTGTAGAAGGAGTCATTTCCATGTAACCTTCTTTGGCATCTAAAATGAATCAAACGAACAATGCACTGTCTTGTGTACTAAGACATTAAATGTTTACAAAAAACAACTTTCATTTTCATATTTTCAGTACATGGTCACAATTCAGAAAGAAATACATGTAATGAAAAGCGGAGTTTGTTGAAGTGGAAGTATATATATATGCATATTCTCATAAAACCCATGATGCAAACAGTGTATCAATGAGTGGTTCAGAATGCTACTCTTGATCACCTTTCATTTAGTATATTCCAAGGTCCAGTTCCTAAGTAGTACTTTTTCAAAAATATGTTTTCTACAATAATAAAGTGTGTCTATACTTTGATCATAAAATACATGTACCAATATTACATGTACAATAATATTTAGTAATTAGTATTGATTACATGTATATGCAATGTATTAAATATTTCACCTGGAGCTGCAGCTTTGCCCATTGACATCTCCATGTAAGGCTTGGGTGTGGAGGCTGGGGACATGTCTATATAGTCATCGGGACCTTTTAGTACAGGTGTGGGAATAGTCTGAGACACGGGCCTCATATCCATGTAACCAGGTATAGATGATGTGTCAGTAGTTGAGCTCTCTGCAACAGCAATATTCAAAACAAATTATACAATTGAACAGGGGACCTCACAGTTGAGTTCTCTGCAACAGCAATGTTCAAAACAAATTATACAATTGAACAGGGGACCTCACATGGAGCTGGTCAACAAATTATTAGACAGAAATGCAGTGCATTTCCTCAGTAATTGCTCCAGAGCTAATGATGTGTATATCATGGTCAAGATTTTCTAATACTCAAGTGCCCAAAAGGTTAAACAAATATTTGAGCTGGAGGATGGCTAGGTAAAATTTTGTTGAGCTTATATTCATGGTATAACATGTACATGTAATAATATACTGTACACAAAACTTTAAGGCATTAACATGCAAAATGTCACCACCACTGCCAAACACCGTCCACAAAAAGTTGGAGAATAAAACAATATGTCACCACTTCTAGTAGTGACATATAACTACAAATTGCTAAACTTTCTTTTATACCTGAGCTTGATTTGTGGAATCCCATATGGAAATACTGTTCATTATCTTCGTTTATATCTGGGGTCATTGACCTGGAATAACAATAATATAATATAGTTTTGCACAGGTGGATGAGAATTTCTTTGATATCAAATGCTATCAAGTTATAGACATGTCAAATATCTAAAAAAAAATCTATATTAATAGATAATAAAAAGTCAGTTTGAACAGTCCGTGGTAATCCACTCAAGTGTCGCCTGGTACATGAACTGTTAGTGTCGCAAATAATGATGTACACATATGAGCCTAGATGCGTAGCATGCTAACACGACAGAAAATTGCCGCCTCATCTCAAGGTCATTTCAGCGATGATGTTTGCACAAGGAAAACAGCAACAATTTCCCGTCGTTTTCACAGATGTTAGCCATTTTTATTTTCATATTATGGATGTTACGACCTGGTGTCTTTTCTTCAGATTCAAGCTCCTGCGCATACCCCTCGAAAAAAAACAACACATTCAGTGTCCTAAAACATCATTCTACCACTCGACACTATGCATATTACGAAATTCATTTCGAAAAATGTAGAAATTAGCTGAAAAACTCACGAGTTGACAATTCGCTGTCGGGAGCCATTTATTTTGCTAATTAAATATGCGAGCATGCGCAGATATAATGCAGAAATGAGGGAGTGGAAGGGATTGATCATTTTGTTTCAAATTTGGCTAATACAGCGAAAATAACAATTTTTTATGTGACGCACAACTGTCATTTTTTAAAGCGACACTAGAGTGGATTACCGCTGACTAGGGAAATGACAGACATTTGAAAGCATAATCATATTCGATATGTAATAAACATTCACGAAACAGTACTAGACGAACTGAATATAAATGAACACAAGCAAAGGGTTCAATGAGTTTCCATGCATAACCTGAATATCCAGGGTCAACTTCCAAAAACATACAAATATATTACATTATTTGCTGGAATGCATCATTCATCAAATGCCACTCTAATATGAATTGACACTTGTCCATACCTCAGCATAATGTCTCCATCGACCTCCTCCCCCGAAACACTACTACTAGTTCCCCTTGATGAGGCATGAGATCCCCTTGAGTCCATGCTGTCAGATCTGGCCCGATGCTCTGCCTCCAATCCTCTTATACTGAAACAATAGTGATGTACATTTTATTGTATTTGTTGTTAAAATTATTAGTAATCCCATCAATTTTGCCTGGTCAACAGTGGAGTCTCATAAAAATACTACTACTTTTCTCTTCCCGAAATAATTCAACCAGTATTGTGCAGGTAAAATAAAATAAATCTTATAAATATTAATGATAAATGATTATCATAAACGATATGACTAAATAAAAATATATATTGATGTGTATTATAATTTGTTTACCACCAACACTGGTATATACGGGGTGGGCCAAAAATCTAATATTGGCAATAGCTTTTTCAAAATGCCTAGAACTAAATTATGCCAAAATGTTTAGCATGGCATAAATTAAGAATTTCAGTTATGATGCATAAATAGCATAGCATAAGGACAAGGAGTTCTTAATTAAGTGATAATTTAAGCGGCCTTTACCCAAAAATGCATACCAGTAAATGATATAGAATGAAAAGTTCCTTTAGCAATGATGCATAAATAGCATAGGATGACGAGTTCTTAATTGAGTGATGGTTGAAGTGGCCTTACCAATAAATACATAAATAATATAGAATGAAGAGTTTCTTAGATGCATATATACCATAGAATGGTTAGTTCTTAATTAAGTGATGATTTAAAGGAATATTCCTGGCAAGACCATTTTTCTCCTAATATGGTAGCTATAACCATATATATACTTTCCATATTTAGCAAAACAGGGGAAAATGTTTTGATATGGTCAATATTGATCACTTGAAAATGTAGTGCCGAATTCCAGTAGGCTGCCATCTTTTAATATTTCACTCAGGAAGTGATGTCATCGACTCTCAACTTTGCATATAACACTATAAGGAGCTATTAAGAATTACAAAACCAGCTGAATATTCTTTTTCAATTTTGTCTATGATTTAATCCTTCTAAAAGTCTCTTCTTTTATTCTAAGCTGACAAGCTCTGAACATATTTTTGCGCATAAAGTAAGGATCACTCGTCTAGAAGTGATATTGTGCTATTTTCCTATACTGTTATATGCAAGGTCATGAAAGTTGAGAGTCGATGACATCACTTCCTGAGTAAAATCTTAAAAGATGGCAGCTTACTGGAAATGAGCACTACATTTTTAAATTATCAATATTGACTATATTAAAACATTTCCCTATGTTTTGCTAAATATGGAAAGTATATATGATTATAGCTATCACATCAGGATAGAAAAGGTTTGGCCAGGAATGTTCCTTTAAGCGGTCTTTACCCCAAAATGCATAAGTGATATAGAATGAAGAGTTCTTTTAGTAATCATGCATAAATAGCATAGGACGAGGAATTTTTAATAAAGTGATGATTTAAGTGGCCTTAACCCATGTATGCATAAATAATACAGAATAAGGAGTTCTTCAGTAATCATGCATAAATAGCAGAGGATGAGGGATGATTTAAGTATATCTAAGTGTCCCTATATATCTGAGTGAGAAAAGATGGGGCACAAACAATCCGGTTCCATGATTAAACCTAAATAGGAAATGCAAACAAAAGAAGCAAATATGCATTTAACTAAATAATAATGGACTAAAGCATGCTGATATCTGCAAAAACCACCAAGATGTCAACATGCAAAGCAGAAGTAAAATGTAGTTTTGTAGATTCTCATGCATGTCTCTCCAAGCATCCTAGTGTTATACTGACCTAACAAGAGGACTGCCCGCAGGGCTATGGGGGGAGTGAGAACCATGGGCTCTCGAAAACATGCTCACTGGTCTCAGCTCTGAAGTAGTCTCTCTAGACTTTGGGGTAATGCGATGACGTCGGGGGCTGTAATATTACAACATATTACTGACATAAACAGTGTGGAGTTGTGGGCCTTGAAATGAGGGGTGCAACATCACAACAAACTTAATACAGTCTTGAAATAGGGAGGTTAAAATGAACAGAACAAACTTTTTTCATATATACAGTGTAGAGCTTTAATGGGATCTGCACCATCACGACATATTGAAATGTACAGTGCAGAGTTATAGGGGTTGGAATTTGCTGCAGGCTTCAAAACTTACAGCTGCCTCACTGTCAATGGCAATGCGAATCATTTTTCACTCTTGGCAATGAACTTGGAAAAACAAGTTGCCCATGTTAAATTGGAATTCATGTTTCTAACCATAGTTGTGTTAACCCTGTAATTTGCACTACAACACACTGATTGTGTACAGTGCAGAGATTTGGGGATTAAACATGGGTGCTGAACTATCACAACATACTGAAATACAAGTGGTGATAAAGGAACGGGTTGGGCCTGAAATGGGATATGTTACTTATATAACAACATAGGTACCAAAATACAAACATGCTGAACATCGTTTACACCTATCAAATCATAGTTATCTACAGGGTGGTCCAAAAAAAATTGGAACATTTGTTAATTGAACACAAAACCTTTATTTTACCTCTAAAATGCACCAAAATCTTACTGAGCAGAGTTCAGTCACTTATTTCTCTGATGTAAAGTTTATAGGTGCAAACCACAAAGTTAATGCATTAAACTAATCGATGTTTGATATGACCCCATTTTCTTAAATATATCAATTTCACAGCTACTTTTTCAAGTATTCTTTATTTCAAAGCTTTAATGAACATGTTGATTGCTATACACATTTTATAAAATCATATTTAGTTGACATGAGGTATTAACACCTTTGGTTTATTGGAAAACTATTGTGTTATTGTCAACTTAAGAATACCTAAAATCATTATTTTTATTTAAGAGTAGGAAAGAAAGAACATGTCAGAGGTGAATGATTCCATAACCCATACAGCTACTAAACTGACAAAATCATTGTTTCCACCTGCACTTTTCAGTAAAGGGGACACTGACCAGTTATTTAAAGACCACCTCTAAGCACATATAATATAATATATCATTTGTGTTCTGGGAAACTCATTAATGATATTGATATACATATATTCAATGAATATTATTCATATGAGAACAAGAGGGGGGGGGTCATTTACCAGTCAAAACAGACTGCCCTGGCCTCTTTCTGGACAATATTCAATCAGTAATATATCCAACAACAGCCATCAAAATATGCTTGATACCCATCAATTTGGGTAAAAAAGGTGAATATGTTCATATATTTGATCTTCCAAGGCAAACATTTAAGCTGAATGTTTTAATCAAGATGGTTTGGACAAAATCTAACGAACAGCAATGTGAATGAATCATTTCAAAACTGAGTCCCAGGCTTCAACTTGTAATTCAGGAGAAAAGGGGTCATATAAAACATTCTCTAGTTTAATGCATTAACTTTGTTGTTTGCACCTATAAACTTAACATCAGATAAATAAGTGATTGAACAATACTCAGTAAAATGTTGGTGCATTTTAGAGAACAAATAACGATTTTGAGTTCAATTATCAAATGTTCCAATTTTTTGGGACCACCCTGTAGAAGTTATCAACACATCAATATTATATGATTCTAAAAACTGACTATCGGTTCAATTAAAAGAAACATAATAAAGAGAAAAACAATAAACTACAGATAATTGATTGTGCAAATTGTGCAACATAATAATTACAATAAGTTATTATATATCCTTATTGTCAGAATGACATCAATAACAATTCATGAATTTACAAGACATATTTTCTATTTTCAACAAAAATGAATGAATGTTTATCAAAGTGATGAACCTTCATTCATAAAACAAGCTCAGTGCGATGATGTATTGTTCTGTATTTCATCAATCTTCATTGATATAGAGTTATATTACACAAGACATTCATTGAAAAGAGAGATAATAGTGTTAGCTGTTGGGCGCTTACTTGGCAGATTGTCTGGGTTTGATATAATGAACAGATATTAATTGGTTTATTTGTATGTGAAATTCCCTCTGGGTCTGCGTAGACTTCACTCGATAATTTATGAGCTTTGAGAGTCATTTCCTGTTTTTCTGAAGACCGTTTTGTCTTGCATCGAGGTTCTTTAATTCATCCATATACACACTCCACTTCGGGAATTTGAAGATGAATGACATGGATTTAGAGGAGGTTTAGAAATTCTTAGACACTAAGATTGTTAATAAAATTGTAGGATTCACCTGCTGTTCATCGTAAATTATATATTTTACAAATCAGGTGGCTTTGTCTGAATTAATTGAACAGGAAAATGTGATTTTTCTGTCAATTGGGAATTACTATGTACTGTCACACTCTAGGATGGGTAAATAAAATCCTGGTCAATGTAACACACAAAATGTCTCTTTTCCCCAACTCAGGCTCATTTTCAAATTAGGTGAATTATATTGGTTGTGACAATCAGAGTAAAAATGTACAAATCTGGTTATAACATTGTCATTTTCAACTGGGTGCATATAGATTTTCCACAGGATTGGAGGTTATTTTCAAAGTCACAACTTGTTGGAGCACAAATTGCTTCAAACCTTGGGGGAACACTAAACTCCAATCATGGTAACCTTAATTTGGAGGCAGAAAAGCAACTCAGGATTAAAATCAATTTATAAAATGAATCTACCAATAGGTGTTCAGGCTCTCCTGTGAGAGCTACTAGAGTAGATTGTAAATTGTCCTACATACCTTCCACATTGTCCCTCGCTGATGGTCTTTGATCTCTTGGGGGCCAGTGCTGGGTCAGGCAGATAAGGCACAGGACTGCTCCCTCCACTGCGCACTGAAAGGCCACTAGTGTTCAGTTTCCCCTTGTCAGTTGCAGAACTGTGACTTCTGGTACGAAACTTTGGCAATGCCATCTGCATCTGTTCTTTATCAATCTTCTTCATGGAGCTGAAATGAGAAAAACAGGCATAAAAACATAGCAACTCCCAAGAGTAGCAAATCCTATCTTTATCAAATCCCTCACAAGTTATTTTGAACATTACATGATAGAACTAGTTCCCAGGCAATAGTACTCCTTTAGTCTCCTTTAGGCAAAACTGACACCCATGATGTATTCATTCAAGAAATTCTTTCGCATTAGCCTTTGAAATTTGGAGCAATCTGACAATGGGTATCATGTATTTCTTTTGAAAAATGGTGGCCATTTTGAATTATACAGCCATTTTGAAAATCCCTTTTTCAGCACAATGTAAAATCTGAACAAACTTCTTCAACTGGTATTAAAGAAATGAAAAATTACATTTTTTCTTACTCAGCCATTTTGAATTCAGAGGCTACCTTAAAAACTACTTAAGCAGAGGTCATATGTGACATAAAATTTGAATCAAATTTTTCAACTGGTATTTAATTCATCAAAAAGTATATTTTTATGAAAATGGTGGCCATTATGAAATGAGCAGCCATATTAGAAATTCATTCTTTATCTAGTTCTATGCCAATAAGGTATCAACCTATAAAATATGAACTATATCAGGGGACTAGCATTTCAGTTATTGCCCAGATGAACAGACAGACAAATGAATAAATGGCTTATTTATATCCCTACCCAAATTTCCTTTGGTGGGATACCTAAATCTGATAAGTGCATTTTTCTGGAATCGGGATAATAAATATTGAAACAATTGAAAATTTCCGCAAAAATTAATATAGCCACAAAAAAGGTAGAAACGTATACCCTCTAACATCTGTACAGACTTTGGACTAAAAATAAGTGTTTTCCTGGAATTGTGATAATAAATACATGTTTTAATTAGAAATATTTAGAAAATTTCAGCACAAGGTGACAGCAATATAACACTTTTTAAGTGCAATTAAATCTCATCAGCATGCTTAACTTTACTTGTACCTTGGTCCTTATATGGATATAATTTCACTACTGATAACACAAATAACATGTTTTATGATTTAAGTTAAACATACCTGAGTATGGCTTCATGCATATTCTGTGCAATGATAGCATCTTCTACTTGCATCCACAGCTCTCCCTGTCCTGTGGCAGAAGATCTACCCACTTCCATACAGAAGAAACAATCAGTGTGACCACATCTTCGAATACTAGCCAGCTGAAACAATATACAGTGAAACCTGTAAAGTGGAAGTGGAACACCTCTATTAGTGGAACACTTCTGAGTCACATGACTAAATGACTCAATGCTTAATGAATCTCTATAAGTCAAACAACTCCCAAGTGGAACACTACCAAAAGTGTTCCACTTAGACAGGTTTTACTGTCATAGTGAAATAACAACTGAACAATAATTGAAATTGCATTTCCTTTCTGAATTAGTAACTGCCAGTAAACCTTCAAAATTAACTTAATAAAAAGTTGACTTCAATATTCAATATAAGTGAATTTCTATATTCTATATCTTCAATGAATCTTGTCTTCAACAACTAACAGGCAGCTTGGCTTTAGAAAGAGCACATATTTTATCCTTTCTCACCTGGAATGTGATCTCTGGTTTATCATTGTTTAGTTTGACAAGGGTGAGTAGTTCATTGGTGAGGCAGAGTCTGTAGGTTCCCACCAGGTTCTTACTGCTCCCAAGGCCTTTGTTACGCACTGATACCTGCCACACATGCTCTGTAACATACAGTTAAGAATGGATGTAAAACACAGTAAGAATGGAAGTAACATACAGAATGAGTGGATGTAACATAGTTAAGAATCACTGACATACAGATGGGATTGGCTGTAACATACAAATGGGAATGAATGTAACATACAGTAAGAATGGAAGTAACATACAGATGGGAATATCTGTAACATGCAGTAAGAATGGCTGTTACATACAGATGGGAATAGCTGTAACATACAGTAAGAATGGCTGTAACACACAGTAAGAATGGCTGTAACATAGTTAAAAAAATAAACATAAATTTATTAAATGTATGTAACATAGTTAAGATGGCTGTAACATACAGTAAGAATGGTTATAATATACAGTAAGAATGACTGTAACATATAGTAAGAAGGACTGTAACATACAGTAAGAATGAACGTAACATACAGTAAGAATGGATGTAACATAAATTTATTAAATGGATGTAACATAGTTATGATGGCTGTAACATACAGTAAAAATGCTATGTCATACAGTCAAGAATGGGTGTAGCATACAGTTAAAAATGACTGTAATACAGTAAAAAGGGTTGTAACATTGTCACTTTAGGGTAGCTGTAACACACTATTAAGAATGGTCCAATGCCTAAACTAAATCTGTCAATCAGTATTTGAGTTATCAAATGAATGAACAGAAAACAGACAGTAAAAGATTGATGGCTTCTCTATCCCTCAAGGATAACTTTCACATATTAGGTGTATTTGGTTTATCATATAAGGGAAATGGACTTATGTTTCCTGCTTGCTAAGACAAAATTTTATTGTAGGGAAGTGAGCCTTTTATCAACAACTACCAATATCCCGATAGAATTTTTCTGCCTAATTCCTGGCTAGAACGCTGAATTGCATAGATTATTGAACATAAGCCATGTATTATGCAAGAGATTGAATGTTATGGCATCATCATTTCACCTCAATTTCCCCCAGCAACTAAAATAGATCTAATAGATTAGAATATACTAATCAAGAGATGTACCTATTTCCCATAAAAGTACTGTATGTTATAGTGTTTGAAGTACATATTAAAAAAATATGTTGTTTTCGTATCAGTCACATTCAAGCAGGAGGCACTCCCCTATATTGCCGATCAATGACACTGATGTAATATTTCTGATTATACATGCATTGTTGAATATGTTTTGTCTACAATATGGAAAACATCATTTTCTTCAATGAGGCCATTTCAACTATCATACTAGCAATCTGAAAATTCAGCTTTTATGGATCCAATGTTTTTCAATACTGACACTGAAACATTAGCATTAAAACATCACATGGTAAACAACACATAAATGGAGGAAATAAATAAAGAATATCAAATCAAGTACAAAAGTTAACTAGTACAAATTAAAACCTCAATTTCCCATAACAAAATGTACATCAAATGTGGTAAAATTAAATTATCCCAATAAATACCTTCCTGCATATTATAATCTCTTGCAACTAACTGAGAAAAGTGTAATAAATTCTATGAAATATCCTACTATAATAAAACAAGTTGATCCATTTTATATAACCAACTGAATATAAGAAGTCCAATTTACATATTTTACCTAGTTCTGTGTTTGATAGCGATAAAACATAAACATGACCGCCGTGAAATATCTTTTAAGAGAAATCGAGACAACCTCAAACATTTTTGTGGTAATCATTTCTCAAAAACAACCCTAACCTTTACGTGACCTCCGGTCTATTCCTCTTGAAAACAAACACTGCATATGCATACCAAAATAATTTCTTTTTAGGAAATCAGAAATAATACAAACCCCACGTCCCCACTAGAATTCTAGACGAGATCTTAATGTGACTAACTAAGACAAACACTGTAGAATTCACAAGTGTACAATTTCATTTTTTTAATCACATATCTTCACATTGCCCCTCCCGTCATTATGTCAGTGTTGTTTTCCCAATGTTTCAGAATGGCTCATGCTTAATAATTACCAGAGTTGAATGCCTTACACAAACAAGCATTTACAATTTCCTCAGTAAGACAACAGACGATAAAAAGACAAACATATTTTCTTCAGAACATCAGACCAGTGATCTCCAAAGGATTTTTTCTCCAGGTGCTGATCCTAATATCACCTGGTTTAGTCAAAATAGCTCAATATTTCCTCCTTTTGGCAGAGACAGATTTTCAACATGGTAGCACATAATATGAGATTTTGAAAAGGGTACTACCCCCAGTTCACGGAGTGGTAACCAAACTGTGTGCATACTATGCATAGTATGCGCGCAGTTTGGCTACCGCTCCGTGCAGTTGTTTCAATACTGGGGAACCAATTATCAACATAGAATATTTTACTGTATGACAGTTTAGTTGTTATATCAATGTGGAATGAAAAAGTTCAAAAAAGGAAAAACTGTTTGATATACCTTATGATTTAAAGAGCGTTTTCTACACTGGTGATCCGCTTGATTACGCTGGTTACCAAAACGGTTCGTTTTGGTAACAAAATGTCAGAACGTCAAAGGTACGATTTTTCTTTTTTTGTTACCAAAACGAACCGTTTCAGTAACCAGCGTAATCGAGTGGATCACCAGTGTTCTAGTGACTAAGGTTCTAGGAGTTTTGGAAAAGCGCTTTTGTAATACTGCAATCGTGATTACACCTATTTTTGAAACCAGGTTTCTAAAACGCATGGTGTAATTCCAGCAAATATAATTAAACTATATTTTTTACTTCTTTGTGCACCTTGTGCCATAAAAACAATTACTGTCATAGAAATTGTTTCTTAAACCATGTGTAATAAAAGAAGCAAACAAAAAAATAAGAATATATCTATATTTAAAATATAGATATTAATCATCCAAACAGGGGAATCGTAATTAGACTGGGTGAATTGACCTTTTTCCATATAAATGGAAAATAGATGGCATCATCGGTATTGGTAGGGCTAGGGTAGGGCTAGAATACATGTAAATGTATTGCCAGTGTCACTTAATTTCTTGATCTAAGAAGTAATTCCATTTGGATCTTAAAACTTAAAACATCATTGGAATGTAACTATGTGATCTTATTGACATGTGGATTGTGATTTCACATTGAAATTGTAATCCTTGTAAGAGCAAATGAACTTTTAAAGGTTTTTCAGCATTGTGTCAATGGGGATTTAGCCCAACCTTTTTTAGAAAATCATTAGAATAATTTGAATAAAGGTAAATAACAGTGCAAATCAAAGTTGTTTTGATAAATTATTACACACAGAATTCAAATATGCCATCAAATAGAAGAAAATGTTAGTCTTTAATGGTTAAAAATATCCTAAAATCTCATTAAAATTAGTGAATTTTTCTTGTTAATGACACCACTAGGACACATTGTCAGCATGTTTTGACTAGACTGCTCAACTACATGAAAAGAATTTTGTCTGTATATAATAATAACAATCATGACATGATTTTCCGGGTAGTATTTCCAGCAATTTCTTTATGATTGAGATGAAAGATTTGAAATTGTAGATGTTTAAACAAACAAGATCAGATAATAACACAAAGTACACGCCTTACATGAACAACAACAAAAAGCTAATATAATGACAAATATGAGACCTGGGAGATGCGATAACATTAGGTTCTAATAACTGATAATTGCATCTAATTTTTTTTATTATTTTTCTTGTTTGTAATGACTTGTTGACATGTAATGTGATAGAAAGACCATGGCATAAATAAAACAACAAAAATGTGTTTTGGACAAAAAAAGACCAGGGTTTTCTTTTTTTGTTGAATACCAAGATTCACAACATAAACAAGATTCTACCACCTAGAAGCCATTAAAAAGTAGATCAGTTGTAGAATTTGGTACCTTCAATTATTAGTATTCTCCAAAAGATTTTTTCTCAAGTAGGTGCATTTCATTTTCACATTTCAAACCAAATTTGGTCAAAATATGCCTAATTTCCATGATTTTTCTCATTTTCAAGTGGGTGGAATTAGATTTTCAGGTGGGTCCAAGCCTGTTTTTAAAATTTTAGGTGGGTACCACGCCCAATTGCTTAAATTATGTTGAATCAGAAATAATCCATTGAAAAGTTTGAAAAGATAAAAGACAGCTATTTGAAGAATAATTTTGGCAAATTCAGTGAGCAATATTCAAGAGAAAAACAGATGATACAAACAAAAAAAATTTAAGATCTATTCAAAACAATCATAACAAGGCATTGACATGTCAAAATGCCATCACTTGGTTGCAATTAAAAAAATGTGAAGTGTTTTAAAACAAATAATCGGTTTCAATGGTAACGTTACATTTTCTCATTACCATGGTAACTGAAACTGCCAACAATATGTTAAAAGTCAGAACATGTCTATATGTGTTGACAATAAAAATGTTAAGTCCATGTGAACACTGCTTCTTAAACTATATCAAATGGTTACGAAATGTTACAAGTCCACTTAATTGTTGCCATGGTAACAGGTAGAGGTGTCACACTGAACCGAATTCGGAAGGCTCAGGTCGGGTCACAAACAGCCACTTACTAATTTCGGATCAGGTCAGAACACTCAGGAATATCGTAAATTATCGTAAAATGTTTTATGTTCCCGCAAATATTTCAAATTTTTGCTGGCCTATTTCTTGTATATGTATAACTTACGAACAGATAATAATTTACAGTTCTTCTTGAACGATTTAATGCTGTCTTTTTTCTTTGATCAAAGTATAATATGCAGTAATGTAGGCTTAAACAGGTTTATAATGTGCCATGTATTCACCCAGTTGATATTATTAAAAACTCATTCTTTTTTTCGCACACTTTTTTTCTGGCCCGTCCCGCAAAAATATCTGATGCATGAGTATTCTAGTAACAGGTATTGGCAGAAATATATTTGAACTCATAACATGTTTACATATCTTCACAGTAAAAATTTGAAGTCAATCTTAACAGTAGTTATGTAACAGTCTGGTAAGTTGAAAGTTGTTATGAATGTTGTAAGATTGGTTACAGATGCCGAATGCTGACCACCAAAGTTGAAGACTATTACAATCACCACTTTTGGTGGTGAAATAAAAATATACTTTGAGAATATCTCAAAGAAACTGTTCATTTATTCAAAGCATAGCAAGGCATAAGTGAAGAATCTACACTTGAAAATCAAATGATAATTGGGCAATCAGTTCTTACTATGATATATTATCAACTTTTCCATTATTATTGTCACTTCAACTGCTGAGTCAATGCCCTCACTATATCACTTGACGGTTGCATGCAATTATATTATGAGTATGTCTGACCTTAAACATAGACTTTGCATACAGTATACAGTGCTCTCCCTAAAAAAATTTTGTGTGGAGGATTTTTAAAACAACATTTTAGGGTTTTGTAATTTTTATGTTTTTTTATTGAGGATTTTATGGAGTGCATAGAAATATTAAAGGAACATTTTAATATAATTATGGAGGTGCTGTACCTCAGAGCGGACAGAGATTTCAATGTTGGGAGAGCCCTGGTATGCTAAGTAGTTTTTGACCTTGGGTTCACTTTTAACCTTTGTCTAAAGAGAAATTAACAGAATGAATTATTGGTGAATTTGATGAAAGTATCATTTCGGTTGTATTGTTACTTTGTGCTACAAGTTCTGGTAACAAACAACTGTTTATGGCAATGGTCAGATTACTTACCAAATAATGGTTTCAATGGCTCTGCCCCTTCAACTTGTTCACTTTGCATCTCTAGCATTGCAGTTAGCCATTCCTCCATTCCACTCTCACTATCACACAGCACAGAAAAGCAGTCATCTTTTGTATATATGGCAATGGCATATTTATGACGGGGATCAGATTTACGATTGATGCTTAAACAGGAAGGTAAATCAATTCTTCGTTTCGGTGCATGTCCTGTTTTGAATTTTTTCTCTGTATCGTGATACTCTAGACAAGCTGGTTGATCATCAATCTCGTGACGCAGTACAAAAAACTTCTTTTTCATCGTCTGAAAGTAACATAAGACATGGAGTCAAATTGATATAAGAAATTGTCATAAAGAAAATATATCCAAAATGGAAATCCAGTCTTTAATATCATGACATGTATACTCTTTCCAAATGTCGAATCAGAAAAACATTTACTATAATTATGTTATATTCCAAATTCTGTTTTATTTTATTCAATTTGAGTATAACAGGGTTCGTACACCTTTTTCAAAATGAATTTCCCCGACATTTCCAGCAAAAAAAGGAAAGGAGTGGTATCGATATGGAGAACTGAATTCAACAATGTTTTTCTCTTAAACCAATAATTGAAAACATTCTGTAAAAAACACGGTATTTTATGTAATGTTGACTGATTGACAACAATTTAATGCAAAGATTATTTAGAAATATTTTATATAACTGTTTTTGTTAACATTTTTTGTTTTTTTTAGTGCAATTGTTTTTGCTCCTTTCTACCAATTCTTGAGAATGAAATAAAATGTCTTTCCGAACCTTGTTGTAACAAAATAGCATATATACAACATGTTTTTAGACCTCTTAATATTATAGCTACAAAGGAATTTTTGGTTGATTTTTAAAAAGTATTCAAAAAATTAAAACAAAATCCCCCAAAAATAGATAAAAATCAAGATAAACCTTTTATTTCATTAACAAGATACTTTTTTAAAATCAACCAAAATTTCCTTTATACAATTACAATATTGAGAGACCTAAACATGTTGTGTTTATGTCATTTTGTTCCAATGAGGTTCGGAAAGATGTTTCATTTCACTCTGGAAACATGATACCAAGAACAAAACATGTGTTTTCTAAAACAATATAGATGAAAGTATATATATATTTTTCAAATTATATTGTTACCATTCAAAAGATGACCATTAAATTGACGATGTGTAAAATTTTAGATTTTTTTATGACTGGTTTAAGAGAAACGTGTGTTCAAAAAGTTCTCCATATCGATACCACTCCTTTCCAGATCTAGTTTTCCTTGCACGGCCTCTAAAAAGTCTCAAACAACTGTATTATTTAAAATAAAAGACTTACTATGAAACATACTGCGAGAGAAGGAAATCAAAAGGGGGGTATGGGGATTCACTGCCGGAAATTTTTCAAAATTGACATTTGTATATGGTGCATTCTAAGCATTTCAAACTATAATTTGTTAATATTTTGTAATGAATCCAAATAAAAACTGAAACTTAAAAATGTTGATCTTAAGAAAAATAGCTACTCCCTTGAGACATATTTATCGAATACAATTGTGAACTTAACTTGTATTATGAGCAAAGCTGGACTGTATGTATCGACAGTCGACACTGGCTTCTAAGAGAAAGCCAATGGTATCGATCAACACAGAAATGATACAAGCTTTTAGAATCAACTGAGGTAAGATGTATATGAACAGGCAATGCAGAAAGTTTTCTGATAATTGGAAGATAAATGTCAATGTCTCAATGAATTCTCTTATGATTTACACTCCAGAGAGAAAGTAGGTGTGGTGCCACACAAGCTTTCACAAGCTGCCACCTTCTTAGTTGCCTTCCTTGTTTTTAATTCTCCCTAGTTTGCTATCTAATGATCATTCCCCATGTCTTTCCTTCCTGAGGTTTCGACTGAATTGTCACTCTTTCAAACACAACAACAACACAATGACCCCACCCCCTGTAAGTATATTCAACTTACCTTCAACTTCTTCAAGTACCCACACTTTCGAATATCTCCCCCTGGCTTAGAAAGGCTCTTTTTGGATTCTGACCTCTTTTTGTGGTCCATAGCTAATGGTAATACTTCTCTAGCGAGACAACAGACTAAAGAATGCTCACAATCTCACTTTTCAAGAAATGGGTTGAACAAATGGAATATGTAAGAGGTAGATCAGATTCAAATACATATCGCCACAACTATATATTGCACCTGTCGATGGAGGTAAGCCTTATGTAAATATGTTCCTCAATGTCTTGGAAAATACACAAATTATTTTGACAATGTGAATGACTGGGTACAGTCAATGGAGGCCAATTGATAAGTATGCACTTCATACATATCCTCTTAATTCTAGTTGAATCACGCAATTCTAGTGTCCCAAATTTTCTCTACGCATACAGTATGTATTCCGGTTTTATATGCCACCGTATGATTGTATATCACGGACTCATGTTGGCTGTTTCAAATTATAATTACTCGTTCAAATTTTTTTTCGTCCTTTTTTCCACCATGTTGGTCACGTGGTCAGCTCAAAAGTAGTAAACAACTTTTGCGCATGCGTCAGGTGTTTAATCAATTAGTGTTTACGTGCTAATTAGACAACATTAAGACATATAAAAAACTAACTTTGTCAGACAAAGAAAGTATTGAGTGATCTGAGTCAGTGATTTGCTCTAGAAAGTGTGATATTGCTCTGAGACTGAATCAAAAATTTAGTTCTTCAGACAGATGATAGGGGGCAATAGTTCATCACTCGAGGTCAAGGTCTTACACTGGCTGACCTGGTTAAACCTTTCTGAACTCACTGCCGAATAATATTGAAACTTTGAAAGTAGATTATTTTTGGAAAACTCAGAATAAACCCAAGAATAACGACGTCATTTAGAATTATGACGACAGCTGATGTTCAATGTTCACATGTAGACAACGAGATCTAGACTGATGGAAAAGGGTAAGCTGCACACCATGACTTTGAATTCAACTTCCGGGTAAACAAAGCTTACTCGAGTCTAAGAGGAGGGAAAGTCCTAGTCCAACAACAGACCTAGCCTGGGCCTCGTTTCTTATCTGAACTGTCTTATGGCCCCGGCTAGGTCTAACTTCCATGATGATTTTGCCCTTGATGCGATCATTTAATCGTTCAGCAGGTTTCGACATGCGGAACTAATTAAACCGTAATAAGATGGTATCGTTACAGAAATAATGTGATCAACGCATGCATACATACCTTATGAATAAATACAAATCATCACATACCCCCCTGTAACCTCATCGATGTATAATTATGAAAATGTTGGGAGAAGGCTTTTTCTTAGTTTAGAAAACTCTGTTCTGGTTCCGGTAACATCGAAATGGCAAATCCTTTCAGGAATAAACCGCCGTTAGCAACACTGAACGAAACAAGTTCATAAAACGAAACGAACCCCGGTTATCCTATATATAAGTACAAAATATTGTAATACTGTAGGAGGCTTGCGATAAACATGATTAAGTTTCCTACTTTTTTTCCTGTTTTATTTTCAGAATTATGGTAAATTTCTGGCTAAAATGCTAAAGCTTTCAACATCTTTGGACAGACGCAAGCATGTGATACTGAATAATTAGATATTTTTCTTAACATGTTTAAATATATATTGTGCCAAAGTTTTCTCTCCCAGAAAGTCAGTGATTTCCCATTGTAATAACTCAGATGCGAGTAGGTAGTTACCAGTTTCACCACCAGGTGGCTCATTCAGGTCACATAGCATGACATAGTTATGCAAATTAAAATAATGTAAAAGAAAATATTATCTGTCCAATACAAGAAAACATATTTCACTTTTTGTGACTTTATATGTTGAATCTCTCCGTAGTAGCATTTACATTTTCCAAAACAAAAAATTTTCAAAATTGATCAACAATATTTGAAGCAATATTTCTTGATGTACTTTTACATGTACATTTCAAATACTAGATAGTATGACATCATTTTGACTGAATGTTTAATGACGATCAAGTAAGATTTTTTAACATTAGAGTAATGAGATCGAAAAAAGCTGAAAAGTGTTGATTTGAAAAAAATCAGATTTGGAGGTATCGAGATAAATCAGGTGTGAAGTATAGGTTAAAAGTACATTTACTTGCTCCAATATCGTGATAAAACACATGTGTTTAACTTTTCTCTCATTGAGTAAATGAAATATCATTGTAGAAAAATATGTTTTATAAAATAGCATAAACAAAACTTCTGTTTAATTTTATTAAGAACATCATACATTTAAGAGCTAGGAATAAAACAACCATGCTTATACAAGTAACATGTAATCTTATCACAATACATCACCACATTGAAGTTATTAAAATGTAACAATTGTTACAAAGCATGTATGCTGAGTAAAATACATGATCCCAGTTATAAACAATTGAGTGTATTCCTAGGTACGTTTTTGCAAGCAGAAAACCATGAACAATTACCATAATTTAATATTTAGGCACAATTATTCAACACAATCACAATCTAGCACAATCAATGACATCTATATTTCTTTGAGCTGAAATTACCAGTAATCAAATGCATCAATAATGTTGCGAGTATTGCTTTTTAAAGTTTTTATAAATAACAATAGAGTAAACTTGGGTGAATACACGCGCTGTTTCAATAAAGCAAAGATTCGTGTCATACTGGATGGTTATAATAAATATCAATATTGAAGAACAATTTCGTTTCGCTGACCAAGTTTACTTTGGCGACGCACAGACAGACATTGCCGGTTGAAATATTCGTCTCATAAATTGGTAAGAATAAGACTCATTTTACGATTAAAAATGAACATTTAACACAATAATATTATGTGAAATCGCCTGATGAAATGTGGTTTTATATTATTGTTAAGTATCAGTGTCATATTAGCGAGGAAAAGTGGTTTCGATAGATCCACAACTTGCATCAAAGGAAAGAATAGCATGGAGGTTAAACTCAATAATGGCCCCAAGAAAATTCCTAATAATAAAGAACGCCGTTATTGAGTTTAACGACGTTGAACTAGGAAAGTCCCAGAGTTAAAGATGACAGACATAATTACCTCTCTTGCTTACCACCTTCGTTCGTTCGAATTTTCATCGGCTAGTTATCAAATACTACACTTCGATGGGATGTTTTAATTGACATAGGCATATTCCGTACACCTTGCTTTATCTTGTTGTGAAATGAGAAGCTATGATATTGGTTAACACGCCAGAAATGAACATAATATTATTCGAAGCGTATTTCGAAAATTTTGAAACCGCCATTGATGACGTCATTTGTTTGTCGACTTTTGACCAATCAGCGACAATGTCATCTCAATACAGATTTACATTATAAGCGTATGTCATCTTTGAACCCTGGTGTTTCTCCCCCTCTGCTCGAGTCTCTAGCTTACAGCTAGACGAAACTTCATTGATTTCGTATGTACTGTGCTACACGCACCTACACGCACCTAGAACTCATTTTTAATAAGTTTTATAAATATTTTTAAGAATATTAATCATATTTAGGATGAAGCGTTGCTTGTCTGGATTTAGATATTTCAAAATTTCATTTCGGAGTTTGACACATGGTGAAATTTTCTCGCTGTAGCTAAAAATGGCTTCCGGTTCTGGACGTGAATAACATTTGAAATTATTCTCGCTTAAAGAAATCAAATATAACAATAGATTCAGACGGGGATGTGAGCTGATGTTCTTCAAATCTATACATAAAGGTATATTTCATATTATTATGCCATATTTACTGTGCGTGTGACACAATGAATTACAATATTTATAATACTAAGGCAGCTCAATCTTCCTCCTCAAAGCCGGAATATAGAGAAGGCTTTGGACCGAAGTAAAACAAAGCTAGCCTATCTGGAAACAAAAATATCCAAGAATTAGCTTCCATTGGATGGTCCAAACCCAGCTCATCTTGTGGGAAATTATTACATTTTCAACAATCCGTAGAGCTAGTGTTGTCGCGATGTGCCATAATCGTACGATGCAACGGTAATTTTCAGTTGTAAAAAGAGGAGGGAAAGCCCCAGAGTTTAAAGATGACAGACATAATTACGTCTCTTGATTACCACCTTCGGTTGTTTGAATTTTCATCGGCTAGTAATCAAATACTACACTTCGATGGGATGTTTTAATTGATAAAGGCATATTCCGTACACCTTTCCTTATCTTGATGTGAAATGAGAAGCTATGATATTGCACGGACCTTAAAGTCCGTGGATATTGGTTAACACGCTAGAAATGAACATAATAATATTCTAAGTGTATTTTGAAAATTTTGAAACCACCATTGATGACGTCATTTGTTTGTCGACTTTTGACCAATCAGCGACTATGTCATCTCAATACAGATTTACATTATAAGTAGTGTTGTCGCGATGTGCCATAATCGTACATCGATGCATCGGCAATTTTCAATAGTAAACATCGATACACATCGCGATGTACATCGAGAAAAAGTCAGAGAAAAGTGCACTGAAATACCGAAAGCTAATGCACTAAAATACCAAACAGAACAAATTAATAAGAGTACGCTGGTACATCCGGGAACTTCTAGTAACGGTGAAATGAAAGTAATTTTTTTAGATTAATGGTTCATTTCGACTAGCTAAAACAGTTTTAAAGCAAAAGAATATCAGAAAACATTGGAAAATGAAATAAGACATGAGAAAGGTATGCGATTTGCGTCAAAATAAGATAAGAAAGGGTGAATTTTAGCAAATTAATTTTTCTCAAAAACATCGATGTTTTGTTTCAGACATCGATGCATCGCCCGAATCAGCTGTAGCGATGTATATCGCGATGTATCGATTAATCGCGACAACACTAATTATAAGCGTATGTCATCTTTGAACCCTGGTGTTTCTCCCCCTCTGAGTAGTAAACATCGATGCACATCGCGATGTACATTGAGAAAAAGTCAGAGAAAAGTGCACTGAAATACCGAATGCTAATGCACTAAAATACTGAACAGAACAAATTAATAAGAGTACGCTGGTACATCCGGGAACGTCTAGTAACGGTGAAATGTAAGTAAAGTAATTTTTTTAGATTGATGGTTCATTTCGACTAGCTAAAACAGTTTTAAAGCGAAAGAATATGAGAAAACATTGGAAAATGAAATAAGGCATGAGAAAGGTAAGCGATTTGCGTCAAAATAAGATAAGAAAGGGTGATACTTAGCAAATTAAATTTTTTTAAAGACATTGATGTTTTGTTTCAGACATCGATGCATCGCCACAATCTGCTTTGGCGATGTATATTGCGATGTATCAATTAAGCGCGAGTACCAGTGTTTTTCCTAAGCAAATATAAATCACAGGACCAATGGACTGGCAATATCAAAATTTCAACCAGTCCAGGCTAAGCATCATCAGTCATCTGGACCTGTAACTTCTGCTACATCACAGGTCCAAGTGAAAACCAACCAGTCCTTAAAATATTAAAGTTACTTCGAATTCAGAACTATATGTATTGGCACTTACCTAAAGGATAACTACGTATGATTTACATGTATACCATTCTCATCTTCACATCCTTGCGGTTCTTGAGTACGTTTTTTATTGAAAATAGACCACATTTCGTGACATTTGTCAAAAGTTCAAAAAGAAATTTAAAAAATTAATAAAGGAACCGGAAATTACTTTTGCTACACTGGACGAAAACAAATGTAGTTTGTATCTTCACCCGGGATTTTTTAACCTCCATTTATCCTACTCGATCAATTTATGAATCCCCATATAATTTCTCGTTATAATTATATTTATTTAATAGTTAGTGGAGAGTAATGAAGTCCCCGTGTTGGAATTCCCGGTTAATTTGCTTCCATAATCAGAAATTTTACATCGAACGAAATACCATATGGTCACTACCCACAATTCATTTCGACCAATCAGAAAACAGTTTTTCGAAGTTATTGATAGATTATGCTACGCAATTTAT